CCACAGCATTGTGGGATACACGGCGGAGTCTTCATTGTCAGAAGGATGCGGAGACAACGTGGGGAACATGAAGAATCATCTTTCCATTCCAACAAACTGCTTGCACACTCCAAGCCAAATACGCTATCCGCCACAGTCTCAGACTTCATGCGAGTTTTCTGCATTTATGCATTCCAACGTGGGGGGTCCAGCGTCTCTTTCCTCTGTGGCTGCGAAGATAATCCCACCCCGAGCAACCATGATAACGCCCTCGCCTTATTCGGAGAATGTCTCGGTTGGTAATTTCTCTGCCTCTCCATCCACCACGCGAGGGTGTCAAACGACAGACACGAAAAGGAAACTTTCCAACTCATCAGTGGTATACTCGCCAGGCACGAGTCCTTCAAAGGGCTCAGGAATCCCCTCCACAGAGCTCACGGTTCGGGCACTGGAGCGGGAATTGAGGGCCGCTGAGAAGGATGAGTTGCTTCAAGTTCTTTTGGAGTTGAGCAGTTGCAACCCGGAGGCAGCTACGTTTATTCAAAGCAAAGCTCGTCTGTTTTCCTTTCGACATACCACGACGACAGGAGGCAAAAAGGGCGAGAATACGGAAGATGCTTCTGAAATGGACCCTTCGGGAACAAACAAAACCACGGCAGCATCTGTCTCGGCAAAAACTTCTCAGCAGCCACAGCAGGGCCTCAGTTTTGGTATTATTGATCGCTGCTCGGGCTTGTTACATGTAACGCCCAGCAAGCCACTGGCGTTTGAGGACACTTCTTTTTCCAACAGCTGTGAGAAGGCTGCGTCTATGAGCGGCACTTCGCCAAACAATTTATCTTCTCGCAATCTAAGCTCGGCGCAGATGCTTTTACAAACTCCGCCCAATCATGGTGTTACTCGGGCGCGTGGGGAAAGGAGATGCGCAACTTCCCAGACTGTCGTCGTAGATGCCTTTGTGAGGGCGGAGGATCGCCCCTGGTGCGACAAGGTCCATCCGTGCTTGCGCTGGTACGGATCCTGTCGGTACCCGACGAGTTGCCCGTTTGTATCGAGTCCGCAGAGTCTTTGCTTGAACTGGGTGCGGGGCTCGTGTGTGGCGGGGTCCGAGTGCAGCGGCGTTCACCGGCTTCCTGACGCATGTCCCTCGGAGGTGCTAACCGTATTTGAGCTTTGCCATGGTGCCGACCGCGGTGCCGTGGCGCATGAAAAATTACAACGACAACCACACCAGCAACAGGATTCTCAACATGGTTCGCATTATAACCAGCAGCCGTGCATCTATACCGATTCCAACCTGCAAGGGCGCGATGGCTTTGACACACCGATAGGGCAGCTTATTTCGGATACTGCTGGTATACCTGCAAGCCTAGAGCATTATTATCATGAGTTACATTACAGTAAAGAAATCAATTTTCCCAACCAACAGCAAGGTAAAGAGGATGGCTTCTGCCACTGCCGAAGCTGCCGCACCCCATGTGAGGAATTCGACTTGCTGGCGGGAAGTCAAGAGGAGCAATCATGGAAGTCATCAAAATATTTACCACCTCCGGTAGCCCAACCCGTACCGCGCTGCTTAAATGACAGTTTTGCTGCCGCAGAGTCTTCTGAAGGCAGGAACACACCGGGAGTAACGGAGAAATCAATTTGGAGGGAACCTACCCAATCTTTGACATGTCAGCCTTCCGCTGCATGTGGGGCCGAATATGAGGAGGAAGCTTCGGAATTATATCCTCCTCACAACTCACGCACACGTAATCAGTCTCCCGTGTCACCATAGATTTTGGCTAAGGAAATTATATATATATATATATTTGGCTTGTGATGAGAGCTTCATTTTTTATTTTTTATTTTATTTTTTTGTCTTTTGTTCACACGCCAGAGCGTCTTTTTCCCAATGAAGTAAGCATGCTCATTCTTTATCTTTCTGCTTAGATACACAAACATATACATAGAGAGAGAGAGCGAGAGAGCGAGAGAGAGAGGACGATAGAAGGACTTGCGGAAACATTCACCCCCCATTGATAAATATGAATTTTCAAAGTCACACGCGATTTCTTTTTTTTCCTTTTTTTTTTTTTTTTTTGTAAACCCCCCCCCCTCCCCCATTCCATTCGGTCAGGCCCGGCGGTACAATACCGGATCTCTGGTGCGATGAGGGGAATGAGGCAAAAGAAAAACAGCAACAACAAGGAAAGAAGAAGAAAAGAAAAGGAGAGTGGGAGTGAGAGGGAGAGAGAGGCGGGGAAAGAGGAAGAGTGAAGGGAAGGAGGTTTTGATATGGAGAAGGGGTGGGTGGACGATGAGGCAAAAAAAAAAAAAAAAAAAAAAAAAAAAAAGAAATCCGGAGAATAATTTATTTACGTTCGTGTTGTTTTGTTTTGTGCCACCACCACCACCACCTTCTCCACAGTGACGGCAACGGTAGGGAGTATTTTTTTCTTTTCTTTTTTTTTGCATTTCCACGACTATTTTTACTCGTCCCTCACTCTCTCTGTGTGTGTGTGTGTTTGTATGAGTGCGAACTGTGAGGGGGCCCGTCTGCCGCCCCCGAACCGCGACGGACTTCACGATTGGAATGTTCCGTCTTTTTTTTTTTTATCTTTTTTTCTTGTGCATTTGACTGCTTTGATGTTGGAGGAGCAGAAGCCCACAACAACAACAGCAAAAATAAAAAGAAAGAGAACAGAAAAAAGAAAGAAAAGCAAAAATTAGAAGCCGCACGCTTTATTGCCCACAGAAGGACGGGGAGGAAGCGACATCAAACATCAAGGGAACCAGAAAAAGGGAATATCATATTTAAAAGAGAAGACACGAGAGAAGAAAAGAAAAGAAAAAAAAAACTCTTTCACCACCACCACGGGTAATATACAACACATACAATACACACAGAGAGAAAACAAACAAGAAATTAAAAAAAAAAAACAAAAACAGGAAAAGGTATTGGGGAGAGAAAAAAACAACAACAACAACAAAGTTTGAATATTCTGGAATTATGCTTCGTGTACTGCGGCATTCTATTCTTGTGCCCTCCTCAGTTGTGGCCTTCAGTCGACATCACCAGGGCGGTATGCAGCACGCCGCCGCCAACATGATGGACAAGCAGGCACCCAAAGTGGAGAACGTGTCACACGAAAAGGTGTGGGCACTGTGGAATGAAGGCAACCTGTTCTCCTTGTCTCTTGTGCAGCTGCAAGGTTTCCTCGCCCGCGCCGGGGTTCGGACGGACCCTTCCGCTAAGAAAGCGGTGATTGTGCGGCAGGTGGAAGAGTACCTCCACTCTAAAGACACTGCCGCGAAAAATGGTGGTCAAGCGTCGCCACAGCAACAGCAGCAGCAGCAGCAGCAGGGAGGATTTGGTCGGTGGAATCAATCCACTGTGATGCAGCCAGAAACACTGCTGGACCTTGCGCAGGCCGGCTTTTACGAGGGATCTGTGAATATGGCACCAAAGGCCTTTCAGTTGCTTGTTAGCAATACCGCGGCAGATGTGGTGGTGTCGCGTGTGAACACCACCGCCTTTCCAGGGTTTCCGGCAAACACAGAATGTTACACGTTGGGCGCATCCGAAAAGGATGTGGCTCTCCGTTCTCGGTACAGCAAGGTGCTTCAATGGTGCTGTTTAAACATGAGCAATCTTCAGATGGACGGAGAGTTATTTCTGGACTTTGGTAAACTGCTTTTACAACCATCCGTCATGCGGAAGAATCGTTCCATCGTTTCTTCATATACGCTTCAGCAACGGATGCAGTTGAATCATCCATACACATGGGTCTCCACATTACCAGAGTCTTGTGTTTCTAAGATTAAGGAGGAATTACTGATACCGGAGGGGTTCATGCCACTTGGTAAGGGAGCTCAACTCACATACAGTGGAACGGTTAAGCGTGCAAAGGATCAACTTCACCTTGAGTTGGATAACAAGGGGAAGGTATTATCCGTAAATAGCGCCTGGGTAAATGTGCAGACGGCCTGGTGCACACATGCCCGTGGACCGGACGTTCGCTTGTTGCTTCGTTCAAGGCCCCCAATACGACGGCAAGAGGTGGAAATGTTTGCATCGATGCCCATTATTCAGCTATCGGAAGATGATGTCTCGGACGTTTTGCCTTCAGAGCATGGTCAGTTGATATATCTCTCAGAGGACGAGACTCGTCTCTTCGAGAAGGTGACAGATAAAGGCGTGAAGATCACTGTGAGGGAGACAAAACGACAGCCCCTTATTGTTCTTCGTGATGAGGAGGAGGATCCTCGTCTAGAGTATAGCCTGTCTGTGGCGATTCCCGCCAATGCGCGAAAGGCGACGGATGTGCGGGCTGTAGGGCTCTCCGCCTTTGAGTTAGCGGGTCGACTGGCCTCAATCGTGACGGAGGATTTTGTGAAGGAGTACGGCTGCGAGGCGAAACTGTAAAGGAAACAGAAGAAACAACAACAAAACAAGAAAAAAAAAAAGAAGGAAAAATTATCTCTAACTTGTACATGCGTGTCTGTGTGACGGATTCCTTGGGTATTGCTGTTGTCTGCGTGTCTGTCTCTTTGTGTGTGTCTGTGTGTGTGTTTGTTTATTGCACCTCATCTGATTCACTTTTTTCTTTTTGGTGGGGGAAATATGCAATGGGAAACAGAGGGGCGTATCTCACTATTTTTCTTCTACTTTTCTTTATCGCGTGCATTTCGCTATTTTTCCCATGAAATTAAAAAATGTTTTATTTATTTATTATTATTATCACTTTTTTTTTTTTTTCTGATGCTTTTTATTTGACGGCTTTCTAGTTACGTGCATGTGCGGAGCTATTCTCCCATTGGCACCGGCTGTGCATCTCTTTGAGTTGTCTCTGGCTGCGTTTGTTTGTGTGTGTGACCATGTGCGCAGGCGATTTAGCGGTACAGGATGTGTCGCTTTTCTTTTTTTTGTCTTTTTTTTTCTTGGCACATTATCGCTAAAGGGTCTCTCCCTCCCTGCTTCTTTCCTTGTGTCTCTGTCTGTGTGTGATAGGGAGGGGAGGCGAGCGAGAGACGCAATGTCGCGCTTGCTGGAGGCAACAATGGCGATATCATCCGTGCCATCTTCATTAACAGCAGCATACGGACAGAGTGGGGAAGAGACATGGCGTGTTGTGGATGTGTTTTGCCTTGGCAGTCAATGTGCATGGTTTATTGTCAAGAATGGGAGCCATTTATCATCCATTAACGTTACGTCACGAATAGACAAACACATTTTATTCCCGGAAAAGGGGATGTCGCAAGATGGCACGAAGGAGGATTTTTTTCTCCTTTTAAGGGAGTTGCAACGAGTTGCTGGTGTGGTGTCGGTTGATGGTAATGATACGGCAAGACGCCGTGGGGACTGTCTCCGCTGCCCCGGGGAAAGTGAAGGCATCGCTGCCGTGTCAACGCTGTATGTTCAAGGGCTGCATGTCGTGCTTTTCTTTGTCATGAAATGCCATTGCATGGCAATTGCTTCCTTCGTCATAGATCCTCCTGTCGAAGCGAATGATGGCGGTAGCAGCAAAGGAAAGGCTCAGCTGCTGGCGGTTCGGTGGTGTTCTGGGGAAATGAAAGAGAATGAGTCTTCTCATTACATGTTTTCCCGTCAACTTAGCGTACCTATGAGTGCCATTGTTGAGGAGTATAAAAGTGACTCTTTTCCCCTTAACAGCACGTCTTTTTTGTCGTCTAGTTCCTCTTTACCCGGGTTGCAACAGGGTCAACGCTACCCGAAACGTGTCTCAGCTTCTCTTTTGCGTAACACTTTTCCGTGGTTTATTCTCCGCATTGTGTTTGCACGCGTGATGGGTTGTGTGGAGTATGTGGATTTTGTGTGGCAGGAAGATTTGGAAAGAAATGTCCCATCTCCGTGGCGGACGCTGCAAGGGTTCCGACAGTTCACATGGGGGTCGTTGCAGTTGGAGAAGTTGAGTGGGGTACCAGGGGAAGTGCGGGCACTGCGTTGGATGCCCTTCTCGCGCGATTACGAGGAGCGTTACCCGTTGCTTGCTGTTCTCTATCAGAAAGCACCCGTTTCTGGGGACCCTTTCCTTGATTGTCTTGCTGTTAGCATGCTTTCCGTACTACGACGACGGCAACAACAACAGCAACAGACACCAATGTGTGTTGAAAATGACAGTTGGGTGGGTCTCCGGGAGACATTGCACGGGTCCTTGATGGAGGGTCCGTGGTGCTTGGAGGCACTCACTCTTGCTCATCCTTCTTTTCTGTTGCATGCCGTTCTACCGGGCGGAGGTAACATGGGAGGAGGCCACGACGCTTTGGGTGTGTTTCTTCGGCCAGCGTATGTGATGTATCCCATGAGTACGTTTTTGCGTGATGAGAACGTTTATGCCTCCTGGGAGCCTTTGGTTGCCACGGCAGCACGCGACAATAAAAAGTCAGAAGAAATGTACTTTGCGGTTTTTACAGAAGATGGCGAGGTGACACGTTGCCAAGTTGGCGGCTTTATTGAAAGTGCTGTAGCCTGCCCGGCAACATCATCCGGGCCACGGCGCGTCAGCAGCGCTGCTGGGGGAACGGAACGTGTTGTCGCTGTTGTTTTGGCAATGCGGAGTGGAGGTGACGTTTTGCTTCTGGAGGTGTGGAATAAAACAAATGTTGCTGCTGCTGCTGCTGCTGCTGCTGCTGCTGCTGCTGCTGGTGGTGTTGGTGTTGGGCGAAGCATTCGAGAGCAGAAAAATGCGAGTGGTGACGCGAAGATGGCCGTTGTGAATTGTCGAAATATTCCATCATGGGATGCCGGGGTGCCACGCTCCTTGCGTCACCTTCACCGATTGATCGGCCTTAAGTGGGAGGACGCAAGGGGGACGGTGTTTCTTCTTGCGGCCCACGAGGACGACAATACCCAGCAAGTGGATTGCAGTTTGTTAATGGCGGAGTTGGTTCCGCAGGGAGGTGACACGCCGCGGTTCATCTGGTTTGGTGCCAGCAACGGGTTTATCGTGGACGGAGGGAGTAATTCTCATGGGTTTCCTTTAAATGTTGGTCTACCGGCCTTGGTGCAACCACTCAGTCGGGTTGATGGGGAGTACAATCTTGGGAGTCTCCAGCATGCCCCGCTACATCCACTCTGCCGCTGCGCGGTTCGACAGAATGAGGCTGTGGATGCCTATGAAAGAGAAGTTGTCATCTTTCGCTCCGGAGACATTTGTCTCGTACGTCGCAACACTCCTTTTAGTACGCACTGGAGAAATTATGACCCTAATGTGTTCTGCAAGAGACTTTCAAGGGTGCAGTGGCCGCATTCAGGGAAAACGGCGGAGGTGGACGCCTTGTTTCTTCTTTTTGCCTCTGGGTCCTCTGACATTTCCATGGAGTCTTTCTGGACCACGACGGGTGGGAAATTGCCCACTCCAGTTGAGATAGACGGGGGTGCGATCTCACTACATGAGCTTCAATTGCTTCTTGTGTGTCGAGCCACCGTGATTCTCATGACCGCAGAGGGTCAAGTCGTGTGTGTGAGTGATGTGCATCCACCTTTAGCTGTGATGAATGACGGCGACAGCAGAGGTCTGGTGGGCACGGAGACGATGGGGAGCATGGATGGCGAGAGGTTTTCATTGCTTTCTTGCATGATTCGTTTTTTCGCATCATTTCAAGGTAATCACTTTTTTATTTGTGCCACCAGCGCTTCTTCTTTGCCTTCAAGGGAAAATGGCTGCCGTGAGTGTTTTTTTCTTTTTTTGCAAGTGACCTGTTCTGGGGACCAACAGGATGACAGTGCTTTGCCCCTGGCGACGGTTTGTGTCGTGGATATTATTCATGTGAAGACTGATGGTCATCCATTATTTGATTTTCTCCCAACAGGACGTCTTGACGACTGTGCGAAGATGACGGCTTTGGGAGAGGCGACAAGAATGGGGGAGACATGTGTGTTTGCTCGTGATATGATGTACTGTGCGGGGGCTAAATTGTACACTGTGCCATGCGTTCTCAGGTGCAGGGCGTCAACAAGAGGTGTTTGGATGGAAGGGAAATTTGAGACACCGTCAAGCAACTCTCACCATGTGGTGTTGGACCTAAAAGATTTACTCCATGAAGAGAGTAAGGCGACAATTTGGCGTTTAGAGCCTAGTTTGTTACAATGCGTGCCGCTTCCCTCAAAGAGGGAGAGAGGGAGAATGTGCGTGGTGGTTTTACTTTCTTTTGTGAGTGGGCCTACATTGGCATCTGCTGTTCATTGCAGTAGCGTATCGCGTCGACGGTGGGAGTCTCAGCTGCTTGTAGAAGGGAAAGGAACGACAGAAGAAATGGCAGTGCCTTTTGTACGACTTGTGACGCGGCCGGCAATGTGCGGTGAATGTGATCCAATTTGTTGGCTGCAGGACGCTGTTGGTTGCTGGCACTCCCTCGTGTACCGGGACACAGGCGACCCGAGGCGCGACTCTTTCAATGTCCAGCCGAGTCTGTCGTTTTGTGTGGACGATATGCAGAAAGCCACGCATGGCAAATTGGAGTCTTCTTCTTCTCATTCGGGAGAAAATGGGTTTGTAGAGGAGTCTGTGATGTGTGGTGGAATTGGGATTTTCTCGCTGGGACCACGCTGCTAGCTCTCCTGCATAGGGTTGAAAGAGGGAACTCGTCGGCTTTCTAACTGTTTCTGTTGTTTGCATTGGAGCGATGGATATTCTTGAAACTAGTTACTTTTTGGTTTTTTTTGTGGACCTGTGTGGGTGTGGGTATGCGTTTTGTGGATGCTTCTTTTCTCCTCCTTCTTTTTTGTCGCTTTTTTGGTTGCTTTTCTTGTGACAAGTGATAGATAGAGAGGGAGGGAGCATTGAAGAAGGGGCGTGGCAAGCACGTGTGGGAATACCGATAGGGCCGGCGGCGGCAACACGCACACACACACATATATATATACTTATAGTTATACATTCATATTTTCATGCTTGTGGAGTTGACCCCCGAAAAGGAGGCGTCCCGTGTGGAGGCACGCGAGGCGGTCCTGGCGGCGAAAACGATGTTGGCTGCTGTTTCAGGGGCTTCACTCCTTTCACGTGAGGCGTTTATCAACATCTGTGTGGAAGCATCACTGGCTTTTCTGCGTGAAAAGAGGCGGCAGAAGAGCAACGGCGACAATGGCAACCGGCTGAAGCCAAATACGTCCCTTTCTCCACACAGCGATGTGAAGAGGAGCAGCGGAAAGAAATCCTACCACCATCACCGCGGGGGAGGCAACAGTGACGAGAAGCGGAATCACGCGGCAAAAATGAAGCGGCGACATGACGCATCAGTGATTTACCGCAAGTATGAGCAGGACGAAAGGGGAGAAGAGCAAAAAAAAGAAAACCAACAGTTATCGCAGTTTAGCGAGGAGGAGTTGGGGCGTCTGCGGGAGTTAGTGGAACGAGAGTACGGCGTGTCACGTCATGAGGATGCGGCGGGGACAGGCGTTGTGGTCCCTGCACAATTCACCGCCCTACCGCCCGCCAAGCTGGAGGCGGCTACAATTATCCGACAGGTGTTGGAAGATCCCTACCGCCGTGGGGCCATCTCCCGTCAGCAGTATGCCGTTATCGTACTCGCGGTGATGGAGAAGTTGTTTCCCGATCTTGTCACGGTAACGAATGACACAATGGTGTCTTACCACAAAAGTCACAGCAGGAACCGTAGCAGCAGTGGCAGTAGTGTTGCCCATGACCGAACTGTTGAGGAGAATGACGTTCAAAATGGGGAGGAAATTTTTATGGAGGAGGAGGAAATGTTTATTTTGGATCCTCCGCAGGAGCTGCATGCCGCATTGCGCCCTGATGTGGCGGAGCTCACAAGGCAACTGACAGAGCGGGCCCTGCAACATTATCTCCAGCCTGACAACAACGCCCATGAAAGAGAATTGGTGGGGGGCGAAGGGTTTCGTGTGGGATGCGTCATCAATGACGTCAGTCCGCTTCCCCGCAACCCGTACGGCGCCAAAAAGCCGCAGGATTTCTACCAAGACAGCGCGTCCACGTCCATGTCATTTTCGGTACAGTTTGACGATGCCTTTGAAGAACAGGTGGAAAAATTGTGTCAGTTGCTTGAAAAGAAGTACGCACTCGACCTCTCCAGTGCACGTGCCGCCAATATTCATCAGAGGGTCAGTGAATCTCGCGATAACGCCTCAAAGGGGGCAAACAATAAAACAGGCAAGACCGATTGCATGTTTACAGTGAATGCTGAGAGTCCGTCTTCCTGCGACGGTGATTGCACCGGGGAAGCTTTTACTGCTGCTGCTGCGGCAAGGGAAAGGCGAGAAGAGCTCCTCACGGCGGCGCTGCACTATCAGGAGGAGCTGTACCAGACCCAAACCCGTCTTAGAGGAATCATGCAAGAACTCTATGAGACAGAGCACTCAAAAAGTGACTCCATTGTTTGACGGCGATCTGTCATGGAGGAGCGGACCAGAGAAGAAAACAACCAAAACTGTGCGTGTGTTTTATGTTTAGAGCTCAAGACGATGCATTCTTATTTTTATTTTTATTTTTTATTTTTTTGTATTTTTACATATCGTTGTGTTGTATTTATTTCATGACGGAGGCGTTTTTGCCATCATGCACCCCATGAAAGAAGAAGAAGAAGAAAAAAAAAAAAGAAAAACAAGTTTTCCATCTCCTTCCCTTTTAGCAAAATAAGAAGAAGAAGAAAAAAAAAAAGGAAGAAAGAAGGCTTCTTATTCCCGTGCGTATTACTCACCCGCTGCTGTACGTGCATCGCCAATAAGAAGAGGAGGAGGAGGGGGAGGTAGAGCCTTGCGGAACAGTTATTGTTCCGTGAAACGGATACAAATGACAATGGAAGATGCGGCAAAAAATGGCAAAGAAAAAAAAAAAAAGAAAGAGAGAAGTAGAGGGGGGAGAGAACCCTTCGCTGGTGGTGGGAGCAAAGTGTGTGTGTGTGTGTGTGGGTGGGTGACCCGGCCATATTTCTTGCCTGAACAAATATTTTTTTCCTTCCTTCTTTTCGGTCCTGCATAGAGTGATGTACTGAGGCCGCTTGTATGACATGCCTCTTCCCTTTTCTTTTTTTTTCTCTCTCACTTTTTTTTTTTTTTTTTATTGCCGTCACCGCACACCGAATGCGATGGCATTTTAGCGGTGCAAACACCACGAAAGAAAAGGGAGGAGAAGGACAGAAAAAAAAAGGAGCGGTGAAAAAAAAAAAAAAGAAAGAGAAAAGTGACACTTGGAAAAGGAAGAGGGCACCGCGACAGCTGCACGAGCGGGGACACGCAGACGCACACAAGATACAAGCAAGGGGGAAGTGCATCTCATTCATATCCCAGCAGGAGCGAGGAGGAAACGGCAGGAGAAGGGCGGGAGGAGAAGTAAAGCAAAGAGGGGGTCATCCCAGCACTCCATTGGTGGATCCATCATCAAATGTCCAAGGACGCAACAGCAACAGGAGGCGGCCGCGAACGTGGGGGAGGCAACGCTACGCAGGCGAGCATGCTGTCAAACGAGGAATTAGCAAACATTGAAACTCTCACCAACGCCCAGCTACGAACGCGCGCGAATCAACTACAACGCGAGATTCAGCAGCTGAAGAATGAAGAGCGTTCAAGGATGAACGAGTTGCAGCGACTCAAGAAGGAGGTGGAGGATGACAAGAAGCGTGTAAAGGACAACAACAAGCTGCCGTACCTAGTGGCCAGCGTGTCGGAGATTTTGGACATGGATGATGAGGATGACGAGGTGGAGGAACTGGATGTGGGAAGAAGGAAGTCTAAACGGAAACAGAAGAGTGCCATTATAAAGACTTCAAATCGGCATACGGTCTTTTTACCTGTTGTGGGGCTTGTGGATGAAAACAAA